TTAAATGCTACCTTTCCATCAACTTGCAGTCAAAATGGTATCCAAATTCCCATTATTTCCTGTCCCTAAGAATAGTCTAGATCCAAAAATGTTCTGAGTTCACTATCTTTGGAGAGCCTCTCTAGTTTACATTAACCTTACTGCCAACAGGAGTCATAGGCTAGCAATTTAAATGGACCACCTTGGTTTCCTGTAGAAGTCTCATCATTCATAGACACTTGAGCATCTTTTGTAATGGTGAACAGCTTGATGCCTAAAACTTTATCAGTTTTAAGCTGTCATAAGAAAAGCAGCAGTTCCTTTGCACAGAGAGAATATGTACATATATTTTGTCCCATCAAATATGACTTGAAAAGTCCTCCTCCAATTTGCTTTGAGAAAAAAAATGGCCTTTAAGCTGAGATTAAGAAGGGAAAAACTTCCGATAAAAGGGAATATTTTTCAAAAACTTGCAAGTGACTGCAAAGCCAGTTAACACAGAAAACCTTGTCACCTTAAGTATGCCATTTGTTATCACACATGCCGGAATACATCTATTCATCTTCTTTTAATTGCTTAGCTGCGCTAGAAATACAAAGCAGCTCACTGAAGCAGAGACTGTGAAAGAATATTTTGTCATGGAAACTTTGAAAACATTTCAAAGCAGGAGCTCTTCTCTGGTTAAATGAAACCTTCTAGCTGTTTCTTGGGCATTGTGTTTGGCTGATAAGGGTCTAGAATAGGAGGTCTTCTCTCTGTGTGCCTTTGCTTATGTCTTCTTGTGCTCACGGATGGCTGAGAAAATTCCTGCAATTTTCCAAGTAGAGTTTAGAAGAGTAGTAGGTTATTCTATCTTCCTCTTCTTTTGCAAAATGACAAGTGAGATGATCCCTGAGTAAGTAGATAAATACTGGTTACCACTCTGTGTGTAGCTGAGATGAATCTTGGGGCATTTTTGAACCTGTCCTTCCTCTGAAGAATTTTGTTGAAAGTTGTTTTACAAAAATTAATTGGGAGGCCATTAGCCTGAGACAGACACTATCTCAGACAGAACCTTGAGTACCTACATTAGTAAAATGAAACCCAACTCAAAGTGAAGGGCCACAGCCTAGGAGAGCAAAACAAGGTTAACCAATCAGAAACTGCCAGAAACCTCTAACTAGGGACTTTCCACTTTAACTAATCAAATATTTTCTCTGTATTGCTTGCCAGAACATCTTATAAAATTTTCCCTTCACAGCACCTCTGTGGAGCCCTGAATTGCTAGTGATCTGGCACAGGTGGATTTATGAATCACTGTTTGCTCAAATAAGCTCTTTAAAAATTTAAAGTGCCTAAGTTTATCTCTTAACAAAGTAAATACCGCACACGTATTTATGCTTTTTAATATTGTTTATTGAGCACTTACTATGTGTTTTACAATCCAAGTACTTTATGTTATGTCACTGACTCTTTATAGCAACTTTATAACATATTAATAGATTGTCTCAATTTCACTGATTACAGAATTGGCAGCTTAGTAACTAATGAGTAACAACACCAGCCCCTAAAACCTGGGGTCTTTCCACTACAGCACACTGACTGACATTGCTGTTGTTCAGACACAGCACTCTATACCTAGAAAAGGATGGAGAGCTAGAAAGTGGTTTTCTTTATCAAGTTGTTCCCATTCATCAATATCCTACCAAGATATATGGAAGAGTTATTTTCTAGGTCTTCCAGGAAGGGCTGCTGACACTTGGGAATTCAAAATAATTATTCCAGAGGGAAATGTGGGCATGGAAACTTTTTAAAAACTGAATTTTCCCGATCTAATCTCAGCTTCCTCATACAGTACATTATTTCTTAAAAATCGCCAGAAATGCACCTGCAATTATATCTACTGGGTTTTCCTTTCCCAGGCCCATTCTTGTTTAAGGAGGTTTTTGGGTTTTTTTTTTTCCATTTTATAAAAGAAAAGCGTACCTTCCACCTATACCTTCTCTCCTTATGGTATATTATCTCAGGGGATAATTTGAAATGTTGCTTGAGACACAATTCTCATTAAGAAATAAATATTCAGGCTAGGTGCAGTGGCTCACACTTGTAATCCCAGTATTTTGGGAGGCCAAGGTGGGGGAGGATCCCTGAAGGTCAAGAGTTCAAGACCAGCCTGGGATATATACCAAGACCCCTCCTCCAACAACAACAACAAAAAAGCCAGGCATGGTAGCATACACCTATAGTCCCAGCTACTTGGGAGACTAAGATGGGAGGATCACTAGAGCCCAGAAGTGCATCATTGTACTGAAACCTGAGCAATAGAACGAGGCCCCTGTCTCAAAAAAAAAAAAAACTTCCAATAATCTTTCAATATTTTGCAATAATGTAATATGTTTACTTTGGTTCTATAAATTCTTAATTAACAAAAGTGTCATTGCTACTTAGAGCCTTATCAAATTTTTTAAAAATTTTAATTTATGAACATATTGTGATAGGAGAGAAGTATGATAGGATGATCAATAAGACACTGTCAGACAAAAAAAATGTACTTCATTAGGATAAAATGAAGTGAGAGAAGTGAGAAAAAAGAACATAAGAACAATGTTAAATGACTGACTCTTAAAAAAGAGTTTGTTCTTGTAATTTTAATGGATAGTGGTGGATATCAAATCACTGTCATATTAGATTCCCACTGCATACATTTAAATATGACTAACATAATAGTTTTATTTTAAAAGAAATATGGCTTTCAGGCAAGTTTAGGGCCTCAAAAAATGCCATATTGATTTGCTATTCTTAACAGAGATGAGCGCAGGAAATAGGATGAGTACTAAAGGCCAATATTCAGAACTAATGAATGCACGTAGGTTAGTATAATTTCCTCTCCTCTAATCCCATTATATTCTTTTCATGAAAAATGCTTTCATATTATACCATTTCCTCTTCTGGTTAATATCTTTGTCGTGTGGGAAGATATCAGCCTTTCAATGATTTAGTTATTTAAACTTTTTTGATAATCTCTGTCCTTTGATCGACCCTTCCACTTCACCTCTTCTCCAGTCACAAGAACTGAGTACAAGAATTGTCAGCAAATCAAGTTACAGAGTGTTGGAAAGGTTATTGTGCCAGGAACTGCTATTATCTTTCTGACAAAAATTATAACAAGCACAGGAAAAGGTGCAACTAGAATTCATTAATAACCTACCACTCAGAAATAGAGGATACCATGGTGCAGATTTTTGAAACAATATAAATGGTTGATACTCAAAGAAATGCCATAATTCATGTTCAGAATTGATTTTCCTTACCTTTTTGCTGAGACTGTCGATAAATGAAATGGCTATTAAATTTGGCAACAGTGGAGTAATATGATGCATGTCAACTAAGAAATTGGAAGATGTTTCATCATTCACCACCATTACAAATACTTGCCTGAATGATCAACATAATGCAGCACATAAGACCTTGGGGTTCAGTTCAACAAAGGCACCTGTCAGTCCTGGAAGATTTTTGTGATAGCATGTTCTCACCAGCATACTTCACCTAAAGCATGAGCGGAAATACACACACGCTACAATGAGAGAAGATAACACAGTTCACTTTTGGCAGGTCTATAAATTTAGACTTTATGAAAAAATATTATTAAGTTGGAAATGATTTCAAATTCAAATCAGCATTTCTTGTAAAATAAAGATTCATATTTTATGACAACAAAAATAATTTTAGCCGACATTTATTGAGTGCTATCCACCATGAAGTGTACATGCTTTACATATTGGATTATTCAGGCATCATGACAACACTTTGAAGTAGATGCTTCTATTATCTTCATTTCAAACACAAGAAACCCAGGATTTAAAAAGTTAAATAGGCCGGGCACAGTGGCTCATGCCTGTAATCCCAGCACTTTGGGAGGCCAATGCGGGCAGATCATGAGATCAGGAGTTCGAGACCAGCCTGACCAACATGGTGAAACAGTGTCTCTACTAAAAATACAAAAATTAGCCGGGTGTAGTGCTGGGCACCTGTAATCCCAGCTACTCAGAAGGCTGGGGCAGGAGAATCACTTGAACCCAATATGCAGAGGTTGCAGTGAGTTGAGATTACGCCATTGCACTCCAGCCTGGGTAACCAAGCGAGACTCCATCTCAAAAAAAAGAAAAAAAAATTAAATAAATTGTCTAACGCCATTTGTCAAATAAGGTAGAGAGGTCCAACTCCAACCCAGGACTGAAAGCCCTCAATCTAAAACTGCTCTTTCCAATAGGGTGGCAATAGCACTTGAAATGTGGTCAGTCAAAATGGAAATGTACTGTATGTGTAAAATGTACACGATATTTCAAAGACTTAGAATGTAAAAAAAAGTTACCTATCTCAAGAATAATTTTTTGTTTCAGAGATGGAATCTTGCTCTGTTGCTCAGCCTGGAGTACAGTGGCACAATCAGGATTGCAGCCTCAAATTCCTGGGCTCAAGTTATCCTCCCACTTCAGCCTCCTGAGTAGCTGAGACTACAGGCATGCACCATCATGCCCAGCTAATTTGTTTTTGTTTTTAGTAGACACAATGTCTTGCTATGTTGCCCAGGCTGGTCTTGAACTCCTGGCCTCAAGCAGTTCTCCCACCTTGGCCTCCCAAAGTGTGATTACAGAAGTGAGCCACCATGCCTGGCCTGAAGAATAATTTTTAAATGATTACATATTGAAATGACAATATTCTGGCTATGTTGGGTTAAATTTAAAATGTTATTACAATTAATTTCATGTTTTCATTTTTTCTCTTTTCAATGTGGCCACTAAAAAAATTGTAAATGTATGTGATTAATGTATGTAATTCACAATATATTTCTATCATACAGTGCTGATGTAAACCATTGGGTATAATGCCATCTTTATATGTACATAAGGATGGATGTGTTGATGGATGGATGTATATTTTAGTATAGAATAATATTAAAATATAAAAGTATGTAAAAATATTAACAGTGGTGTGTTAGTCTGCTTGGACTACCATAACAAAATACCATAGACTGGGTGGCTTAAAAAACAGAAATTTATTTTCACAGTTCCAAAGGCTAGAAGTTCAAGGTCAAGGTGCCAGCATGATCACCTTTCTGTCTTGTAGATGGCCACCTTCTTTGTGTGTCCCCACATGGAAGAGATAGCCAGTGAGCTCTGGTTTGTCTCTCCCTGTTTTCATAAGGGCACAAATCCTATTGGATTAGGGTCCTTATGACCTTGTTTAACCTTGTTTACCTCCCAAAGGCCCCTTTTCAAATACTATCACTGTATTAGTCCATTTTCATGCTGCTGATAGAGACATACCCATTTAGGCAATTTACAAAAGAAAGAGGTTTAATTGGACTTTCAGTTCCACATGGCTAGGGAGCCTCACAATCATGTTGGAAGACAAAGAGGAGCAAATCATGTCTTACATGGATGGCAGCAAGCAAAGAGAGAGAAAGCTTGTGCAGGGAAACTCTCATTTTTAGAGCCTTCAGAGCTCATGAGTCTTATTCACTATCACAAGAACAATATGGGAAAGACCCACGCCTGTGATTCAATTACCTCCCACTGTTTCCTCCCATGATACATGGGAGTTGTGGAAGTTACAATTAGAGATAAGATTTGGGTGGGGACACAGCCAAACCATATCATTCCACCCCTGGCCCCTTCCAAATCTCATGTCCTCACATTTCAAATCCAATCATGCCTTTCCAACATTCCCCCAAAGTCATAACTCATTTCAGCATTAACTCAAAAGTCCACCATCTCAGACAAAGCAAGTCCCTTCAGTCTATGAGTCTGTAAAATCAAAAGCAAATTAGTTACTTCCTAGATACAATGGGGGTACAGGCATTGGGTAAATACAGCCATTCCAAATGGGAGAAATTGGCTAAAACAAAGGGGCTACAAGCCCCATGCAAGTCTGAAATCCTGTGGGGCAGTCAAATCTTAAAGCTCCAAAATGATCTCCTTTAACTCTATGTCTCGCATCCAGGCTTTGAAGGGTACAGACTCCCTCCCAGCTGCTTTTACAGGCTAGCATAGAGTGTCTGTGGCTTTTCTGGGCAAACGGTGTAAGCTGTTGGTGGATCTAAAATTCTGGGTTCTGGAGGACAGTGATGGCCCTCCACTAGGTGGTGTCTCAGTAGAGACTCTGTGTGGGGACTCCAACTCCACATTTCCCTTTTGCATTGCCTTCATAGGGGTTCTCCACGAGGGCCCTGCCCCTGCAGCAAACTTCTGCCTGGGTATCCAGGCATTTCTATACATCCTCTGAAATCTAAGTGGAGGTTCCCAAACTTCAATTCTTGACTTCTATGCACCAGCAAGCTCAACACCACATGGAAGCTGCCAAGGCTGGGGGCTTGTACCCTCTGAAGCAACAGTCTGTGCCATACCTTGGCCCCATTTAGTCCTGGCTGGAGCAACTGGGATGCAGGACACCAAGTCCCTAGACTGCATACAGCGAGGCACCCTGGGCCTGGCCCACAAAACCACTTTTTCCTCCTCAGCCTCTGGGTCTGTGATGAGAGGGACTGCTGTGAAGACTTCTGACATACCCTGGAGACATTTTCCCCTTTGTCTTGGGGATTAACATTTGGCTCCTCATTACTTATGCAAATTTCTGCAGCCAGCTTGAATTTCTCCCCAGAAAATGGGATTTTCTTTTCTATCACATTGTCAGGCTGCAAGTTTTCTGAACTTTTATTCTCCCCTTCCCTTTTAAAACTGAATGCCTTTAACAGCACCCAAGTGGTGACCCAAGTCACCTCTAGAATGCCTTGCTGCTTAGAAATTTCTTCTTCCAGATACCGTAAATTATCTCTCTCAAGTTCAAAGTTCCACAAATCTCTAGGATGGGGGCAAAATGCTGCTAAAACATAACAAGAGTCACCTTTGCTCCAGTTCCCAATAAGTTCCTCATCTCCATCTGAAGCCATCTCAAGCTGGACTTTGTGGTCCATATCGCTATCAGCATTTTGGGCAGTCATTCAACAAGTCTCTAGGAAGTTCCAAACTTTCCCATATTTTCCTGTCTTCTTCTGAGCCCTCCAAACTGTTCCACCCCTGTCTGTTGCCCAGTTCCAAAGTAGTTTTCACATTTTTGGGTATCTACAGCAGCACCCCACTCTACTGGTACCAATTTACTGTGTTAATTCATTTTCATGCTGCTGATACAGACATACCTGAGACTGGGCAATTTACAAAAGAAAGACATTTAATGGATTTACAGTTCCACATGGCTGGGGAGGCCTCACAATCATCGTGGAAGGCAAGGAAGAAAAAGTCATGTCTTACATGGATGGTAGCAGGCAAAGAGAGAGAGAGCTTATACAGGAAAACTCCCATTTTTAAAGCCATCAGATCTCGTGAGACTTATTCACTATCACAAGAACAGCATGGGAAAGACCTGCCCCCATGATTCAAGTACCTCCCATTAGTTTCCTCCCATGACACATGGGAATTGTGGGAGTTACAATTCAATATGAGATTTGGGTGGGGACCCAGCCAAACCATATTAATAATATTAGGGGCTAGGGCTTCAACATATGAATTTTGGAGAACACTATTCAGTCCATAAAAAATAATTATCTGTGGATAGTTGAATTACAGGTAATTTGTATTTTTCTCTTTATTTTGTTCTGTCCTGATAATTGTATGTATTTGTTGTTTAATCATAAAACACACACGTAAGCCAGGCGTGGTGGCTCATGCTTATAATCCCAGCACTTTGGGAGGCTAAGGTGGGAGAATCACTTGAGCCGAGGAGTCCGAGACCAGCCTGGGCAATACATGGAGAAACCCCATTTCTACAAAAAATTAGCTGGATGTGGTTATGCGTGCCTCCCAGCCGCCCAATAGGCTGAGGTGGGAGGATTGCTTGAGCCCAGGAGGTCGAGGCTTCAGTGAGCCATGATAGCTCCATTGCACGCCACCCTGGGTGACAAAGCAAGACCCCGTCTCAAAAAAAGGAAAAAAGAAAGAAAAGAAAACACACCTATATTTCCATTACAGTGCTATTGTGACAAAAGCCTTATGGTCATTCTTCAGGATTCTTCTTTATGTTATAATTTTATAATAAAGATTAAAATGTTCATCAACATTAGGCATTTATTTCTTATGTGGTATCATTTGCTTCAGTGAGCACTTTCATGATTTGTAACTTCCAAATGGTGAGTTGTCTCTAATGTTTAAGAGACTCTGGCAGGACCAGACCACCCAGGGTAATGTAGCTAGGTGCTCAGAGGTTCTCCCTTTGCCCCAGGGAGAAGCTCCTGCTCTTTTGCCTGTGATTCTAGTGGCTCTGGAAGCATGAAGAAACAAGAAGAATGGCTCAAGTGTAGAATATGCTAAGGACTCCAAGCAGAAAGTTCAATGCCAATGCATGAGCAGACACAAGAATTGACCTTGCTTATCCGTCACATATTTCAAACATTCATCTCTTTGTAGATAAATAAGGGATATTAAAAATACACAAAGATATACATTTATATGTATATAACTATAATATATTATTCTTTATATGAAACCTGATGAAATTTTCAGGCTCATTTAACCAGTTGTCAAATGACCAGGAAACCAGCCAGGAGATACAGACCAAGATATTTTTGGATAATAGGATGCTAAATGGGAAAGACAGATTAGTTACAAGCATTTGATTCTCAACAGATTTCATGTCTCCCTCTCTACCCCCATTCCAATAACCATATCTGCTAGTTATGAATAATGGGTCTTAAGTTCTCTTGGACTATTATGATAGCTGCAGTAGCAACCTTTTAACATAGTGCTTGCTCATTCAACTCCTATTATAATTTTCAGTGAAGTAAAATATCACAAAGTCATTCGAATTCATAGACAAAAGATATATCTATAGTGACAAAGTAAAGTATAGGATAAAATTCATTATCCTGATAAATTGATGAACATGGACAGTCACTCTGAATAATTTGAGCCAAAGGAAGTTTTTCCTCTCAATGGTTGGATATTTTTGGCCTGATTTATCCACATAATTGCCTCAGCTCTTCATTTCATTTTGCCCATGTCAACACAACAAAGTCTCTGTACTTGATTTTGAAAGCTTCAGTATTTCATGTCACGTTAGCAAGTGAGACGCACATAGCAAATTCTGGATGGGGTTCTTGTGACAAATGACTTCTATGGTTTGCACGTGTCTCCTCAATGACAGCTGCTGGGAAGAAACATCACCTCCCAGCTGCACAACTTGATCCTTCTCTCCCTTGTGAATTAGGAGGAATTGAATGTTTGGCTGTAAAGTGGCACTTCGCACTCCTCTCATTGAATATCACAATTGTGCCCGCACGAAAGGAAACAAAAAACCTCATCATTGGCAACTGACGGGAGAAAAAATAGTCCTCTCATTACAGAGATAATAAGCAGGATGTTCCCCTGCAGCCTTTCTTCTTAATTCTCCTTATTGTATTTTATTAAATGATGCAGTTTGAAATTAAGGTTCTGGCAACCTTTGTGCACACTCTGCATAAACAAGCAAAACAGAAACACAGTTAAAAGAGCAAGTATGAGCCCCTCCCAAAAGCCATCTGCTTTCTTCTTGTTATGAAACTTCAATTCATCAGCAAAACTCTAAAGAAAATATTTATAGCAGAAATGTAAGCTGCATTCTGAAGCTGCTTGGAGGCAGGGTCAGTGGAACATTAGAAAACTCAGTTAGGCTGTGTCACTTAGTAACCAATCTAGAACTGGTCATTTAACCTGCCTCATTCACTCCTTCAACCTTTTGTGCACTTGTCTACTCATCTGACAGAATTTATTCAAGACCCTCAATGTGCCAGGACCTGTGGTAGGTGTTTTCACATCATTAAATGAAGATAATGGTTATACCAGCCATGTGTACCTCTCCAGGTTACTGAAAGCATTGCTGTAAAATATAAAACAAAAACATCTGTGTTTATTTTCCACCAATAAGCCACTAGAAGAAAGTACACATTCATGGCCGGGCGCGGTGGCTCAAGCCTGTAATCCCAGCACTTTGGGAGGCCGAGACGGGCGGATCACGAGGTCAGGAGATCGAGACCATCCTGGCTAACACGGTGAAACCCCGTCTCTATTAAGAAATACAAAAAACTAGCCGGGCAAGGTGGCGGGTGCCTGTAGTCCCAGCTACTCGGGAGGCTGAGGCCGGAGAATGGCGTGAACCCGGGAGGCGGAGCTTGCAGTGAGCTGAGATCCCGCCACTGCACTCCAGCCTGGACGACAGAGCAAGACTCCATCTCAAAAAAAAAAAAAAAAAAGAAAGTACACGTTCATTTAGTTACATATGCAAAAAGTATAAACATGATTATAACTTAAGGGGAAATTTTATTTTATATATGTACTGTCACAGATTTTTTTGCTAATTTTCACCTTGGTTCATCTGATAAAATATATTCCTATTTCTATTCTTACTCATTGTTCCTCTCTGTGGAGGGGAACCAGTGAACCATGCACTACAGATTTTTTTAAAGCCATTAGGCAGTCACGCTATGTAAACATACAAATAAATATACCATACCTAAGCAATAATACCAACATATACTCCAAATTTGCTAAGCAAAATGTCATCTTGAACTTCCTTTCCATTTGCCCCACAATTTGTACTTCTCCAGTACTCACAACCACAGACCAAAGTGAAGTCAAACAGAAACCAGGAGATTTCGTGTGAACAAAAAAGATAATTTCATTGTTTAGCAAGTGAATTGAAATGGGAAATTTGTTTTCACAGCATATTCTAGCCTATCCTAACAAATTCAGAATTTTTATCAGTGATAAGAGGCCATCACAAAGAAACCTAAAATGTGTAGCAATGACTTAGCAATTAGGCAGAGGGCAGTGAAAAATCCAATGTTGGAGGCTGGAAAAAATGGCAATTTGTTTTAAGCAGTAGGAAATCATTTGGCAAAAATTAAAATCCTGTGGTAATTTGGGAGGCAGACCGTGCGACTTCTGAGCCCAGTGACTCAGGGAAACAATATTGAAAGTGAACATTGGCTGTATTTGGCAGAGGACTGCAATAATGACATAAGCTCAGGAAAACCCTGGCTGACTTGCAAACAGAAATGAAAGGGATAAAAATCGTTCAGAAATTTTGAAGTTTGCAAGTTGGAAAAGTGACTACTTCTAGACTTTAAACAGTAAGACTTGGCATCTCAAAAGACTGCCACAAAATCACAGTGAAATGTCCCCATTGGATGAAATGACTTAGGACGAGGATCAGATTAAGCATATAAACAGATTAAGTGTGTGAACGTTCTACCTATTAGTCAGACATCTTCAACACAGCCCCCATATAGAAGAGAGAGAAATGCACAGAAGCAAGAAAGCAATGAAACAAAGTAGATTTTAGAATTATGCCTAGAAAAGAACTTTAGGTGTGGTTACTACCACATGAAAGTTATTTAAAGCAAATAGATCAGAAGCCTACTGTGTGTTTGAGGGAATTGCATTGTTAAATAAATCATGAGCCTGGACTAAAAAAAGCCACTGACATTTTGAGACTTATAACCCTTAAGCTGCCAATGTTCCGTGGGAAAGAAGTTTACTGAGAAAACTGTGCAGCCCCCAAGGAGGACATATTCCCCCTCACCCACTTCAGAGGTGGTGGAAGAGAGTAACGGAAAAGAAAGAATATCTTGGAGGGCACAGCTTTCAGCCATAGAGGACAATGGATAAAAACCAAGGCCTAACTAAGGAACACTTACTACCATCCCCTGCATAAGGGAACTTTCACCATGTCTGACCAGTGAGATGTTATCATTGTTGTGTGTCTCTAATCATCCCCTTTCAAATAGGAATGTATACCATGGTTACTCTGTTCCTTTCCACCACTCTATATGCGGTGGTATAGACAGTAGAGGACAACGATATATTCTTTCTTTCAGTTCATAGGTCACCTGATCAAGAAGAGCCTCATGCAGACATGACAGAGAGGCCCATGAATCCCATTAAGCTTGATGTAGTGACTAGATTGGACATCAGGATGTCTCCCCTGAGGCTGGATTAAGATGTCTTATGTGGGTGAAGAAAAAAGTAATTGAAAATTTGCTGATTAGAAGGGCAGATGCTGGCAGAGATTGTAAGTGCCTACCAAATATTCACGTTTTTCTAATTTTCCAAGCCCCCATGCACCTATCTGAGTGGGGTCATGTGACCAGATAAGGCCAGCAGAAAGTAGGTGCAAAGGATATGTAAATTCCACCTCAATCTTGCCCTGCTCTTTGTCTTCCTCTGCTCTACTCACCTTGGAGACTATGTGATCCAGATGGCATAGCTACAAAATAGAGCTTCATCAGATTCTGCATGAGAGAGAAATACTTATTATTTATACAAAGTCATTAGGATCTGAGGGTTTATTTATTATCCCAGCATAGCTGAAGTTAGATTAATATTTATATTGTGCAATAAAAGCCCCATCCTCATTCTCCCTACAAAAGTTTTATCAGGGTCTATGCTGATCACTAAATTTTGTGGTGTGAATAAATGGAGAAGGATATGTTTGAAAAGATCCCATAAATGTCTAGGTTGAAGTGAGCTGAAGCTGAAAATGTTAAGGTATTATGTGCAAACACAGACATTTTGCAATGAAGAGCAGCTGATATGTAGGTTATATTTAACCACCTATCTCTGGGCTCTTAGTGCCCCTCTCTCTGGATATAGGAAGAAGATTTCAAAACAATTGCAATGGGACATCATAGCTTCACCCTCAGCCAGAGTTCGAACACATCCAGGTATGTGTTACATAATGATATGGTAAACTTACAGCAGTGCATTTATTGGGAGTATAAGAGCCTCCTGAGAAAGAGCCCATCCTCAGGAAGGAAAGAGTTGAGCATAACAAAAGTTGACCCAACAACAAAGCCTTTATTATTGAATGAGAGAAGTAGTTCTGGGCATAATGTGGCATCTTCGTTCATTTCTTTCCCTGGCCCAGGGTCCTGGAGAAACAAAGAACCATAAGTAAAACCTAAAATGTATTTAATGTAAACTTCCTTAAGACATTAGGCATATTGACATAGCTTTAGTAACCGTGTAACAGAGAATAGCAAAAAATGAGGAGCAAGGCATTTCTGCA